CAATGCTTGAAGACTCACTGGATGAGATGAGTGTTCAGAACAATCCATATGATTTTGCTGATGATGTATAAGGCTCTGTATCAACATTTGGATGATTTGCATAACTCAGTGAGCCAATTTTCCAAATGCTTAATTCATTATATTCCAAATCATACACGGGTAAAAGAGCCATTCAAAATGCGATCTAGAACAACAGTTTTAGTATAATGGAGCACAGAGATATCAAGGTTTCTGATTCTACACTACAACTAGCCTGTAAGAATCTATCATTTGTTGAGAGTTTAGTGTGGCAAGAACACTCAAAATTACACCACAGGCCATTAAAGCACACCTCCCTTTTCTAACCTTGTATCTGTGTAAGGCTGAAAACTTCATCTTCTTCAACCCAAACAACAAAAACTGAACACAGACACAAACATGAGAACCTGGCTGTGTTCTATTAATATTAAGCCAGACATGTAACTGTAAAATGATGTCACACTTTCATTTTTCTTTTTTGTGTGAAATAACTATCTTTCTATTTTCCATTAAGAGGTGCTATTACCATCAACCTATAAATGAGTCTATTATTGGTAGTCTTAAGTGAACTAAACATATATTTTGAAAATATGTTGGTTTAATTTCTAATATGATAAATATCAACAGATATTACATAAACAAAGGTTGTTTAGGGTCTTCAATAATTGCTAAGAATAATAAGGCATCCACAAATCAAAAGATGTAAAAACTGTCCATCTATGATAATAACTATTTGAAAAACCACTTGAAGGAGTGTCTGTTTTTATACCACACTAGATACCTGGAGCTTTGGAGATAAAAGGCAACATCCCTGCCCTCAGTGAATTTCAAATTTCATAGGGAGAGTAATTCTCAATTACTATAATTTTACTGTAAAGAAAAAAACCCTTAATTTTAAGTTTCTTACAGGCATGTCTTTTATGTCTTGATGTCTCCAATGGCAACTAATAAGAGTATACAGCACACAATAATGCCTAAATACTCAATAAATCTGTATAGCATGCATTTGACTGATGCATCAGAAAGTCATATATCATGCCATGCAATTAGGAAATATGCATTACCTAAACACTTTTACATAGATTTCTGACACCAATTGTTCATTATGGTGAAAAATGCACTCCCATTCTTAGTTAACAGACGGCATTAGCACCGGAAAGATCCTGAAGTTATAGCTACAATGCAGCCTTTCGCTTGTTACTTCTGAAGTAAAATGTATTTTTAGATCATATCATGGTTTTTAAGATAAATCTATTTTTCCAGATTTTTACAGCAAGTAGTCTAGACAATAGGATAAGGGAGGAAATAGTAGCTCAGTTCAAGAATCTAAAGTCTTATGAACAAGAGATGCCCTCATGCTATTTCCACAGCTTCAGAAGGCAGAACCAGAAAGTGGGCAACATAAGAAGAGAAAGAAAGATTCCTTATGTGTATGTGTGCGTAAATAAATACAGAAGCAGAGGTAGTGGTTTAATTAACAATAGAAATGATGCTCAAGGTCAGAGGTCAGACTAAAGAGGTTCTCAAGAATTTTTCTGCTCTAACCCAAAGGAGATACATTTCCCAAATGAACAAAAGGTAGAAGCTGAAGCCCAGGGTGCACACGGGTGGGGAGAGGGTGATAAACCCCTACCCAATCCAGTTTGAGAAGCATTGAGCAGGGCACCAGAAGGCGCTTCTAATTCTGTTACTTCCGAGCTTTTAAAAGAAGGATTCGGGCAAACTCCTGAGGAGCACCTCCTAAATAGGAGGAGCATTTTCCGCATCCTTATTTTTGGATGTAGCTCTACCAGCAACCAAGAGTGAGCACTGAGCACAGAACACAAAGGCCGGGATTACACGCAAGCGCCCCCTTCTATAATCACATCATGTCTGAACCAAGCAAACGGTGTTCTGACCTGCTTTTCAGCTTTGCTGACCATTTTCCTGTATTTCTAACCCACTAACTCGTTCTCTGGCCCTTCTATAAAAATGTTTCTAATTACTGATTTGGAAAAGCAATAGGAGAGCAAGCCTAAACCTGACTCAACTGGAAAGCAGCAATTGAGAACTAGCGCCAATGCACTTGAAACGTTTGTGTTCTTTTCCCTTCTGCATATTCATCACCTCGAATGTCATGCAAATTCAATCTTAGCCTACATGACATAATGTTGTTTTGTGAATATTTTCCCCAGAATGTCTATGAATTCTGCTAGTGCAAGCAACTATTATTATGAAGGCAAAGTGCCTTAGCAGATTTATTTCATCACAGAATGGGTATGAAATTCAGGCTTTGGGGATATTCCTCTATGAATTCCAGTATCTGAATACTTGTTAGGCCCTCTAGCAGGAGTTCACCAGTTCTTTCCAAAAGTTTGGCTCTGAATTAAATGTGGGTACACATTTGAAAACTGCACACTATATATGAGTAACATACACTTATTTTACATTTTTTACATCATGTACAAGCTGTGGCAACATCTGGTGTTTTGCAAACTTGGACACATCCAGCCGCATTTCCTTTTCCAAATGTGTCCTCTGACGTGTGAGGGTTGTATTTCAACATGAATTTTATACCCTCTCTCTCTAGGACAGCAATGTGTGATTTCAAAGATGCATTGCACCTAAACTTTGTATTTGTCCTCTCTGAATGGAAAACTTAAAGCTTGCCAATTAATAAACCAAGATCAGACATAAAGCTAAAGATAGCAAATTAATGTGGCTGTCTTACTTTTCTATAGCTTGACTTAGTAGGAAACCACCTCTTGACACATTCTACAGTAAAATATCTTGCTGAGGATTATACCATCTGGGCTAAGAGAAAACACCACCACAATTAACTGACTTGATCCCAACTGGGTCAGCTATGCATTTTTTCCTCGGAAAAAGTGCACATATGCCCACAGACAACTGGGTCATACATTTTCTCGTGGTTGGAGGGTATCTTAAAGATACACGATTAAGAAACTAAGGCGATGAGAATGTGCTGTAACTTAAAATCTTCTGACTTAAAACATAAATAACAATCTGAGTAGACTCTGCATCTAACTCCTAGGTTTGCTTAACCATGAGCAAATAACCATTGTTGGAAAGTCTAGGCTGTTTGTCCATCCCCACACACGTGCTCACAATTAGAACATGGCCTTGGCTAGCTATGCTAGGCTTTGTCTCTGCCCTTAGACAAAATACATAAAACCTTCTTCAGCCTGGACCACTCCATCTTCCTGGCCAGTCTGTTCGCTTGTCGAGCTCCTTCGGCTGGTTCACAGGTCCCACCAGCTCTGGAGCCACTTCCTTGGATTTCAACACCCCTCCTGGCTCAGCCTTTTCCCTCCAAAACACACTTCTAGCATTGCTAGTACTTAATTGGACTCCCAACTTCTTCTCACTCTTGGAGATTTATCCACTGTTTGCTGGACTCTCGTCTTTTCCCAGGCATTGCGAGGCTCCAGCCCGGCCTTCCTCATTTAGGCTCAGCCCTGCTCTGGAAAAATCCATCCCATGACAGGCTGCTCTGCTTGGACTGAAAATGCCTGGGTCTCTCTGGCCCTACTTTTCTCCCATGGTTGCGACAAAGTTCCCTTGACTCTAGCTGTTTGTTCTACCTCTTAGAAATAGTACACTTCAGTACTTAAGAACAAAGACCTTGGAACAAGCCTCCCTGAGTTCAAATCAAAGCTTCTCTATTACCAAATTAACCTTGTTGAACCTCAATTTCATTTCCTCACCTATTCAAATCAGGGTAATGCTATTATCTATTCATAAATTCCAATTACAGCCTCTGCCTTAAGGAGGCAGAAGTCTAACAGAGATTCCTGGGGCTAAACCAAGGAGCTGAGAAGTGGCAGGTCCAAAGTTCAAAGCCTTGTAACTCTACATGTGTGCTCTTTTCAGATATATCATGCTAAATCCTTTAATAGACATCTTTGCTTTTTTCTTAACAACAACAAAAGTGATTATCTCCTTTTTACCATACTGGTTATAAAATTTCAAACCAAGTTATTAACTGAATTAATTGAGTTATAATAAGGAAATGGAGTCCCTGGTTACCCACAACTATTAATCTAACAAGGTAGCTAAAACTAGCATTTCTAGTAGATGTTTGAACCTTCACCTGTGCCAATCTCCAAATGAATGACTTGGATTCTTAGACTCTACACTCAGTTTTCAGGATAACATGAACTACAGTAAAAATACACGGGGTAGGGTCCTGCGCAGACTGAGCAACTTGGTAAAAAGAGAAGGTAGAAAGAGAAGGTAGTAGCAAAGACAAAGGAGAGAACGTGAAAAGAAGTCCCAAAGATGATGCTGTTTAGATCTAAGACCAGCAGTCAGATTTTCTAGGAGAGACAATACCCCATGTTCAAGCAATGAAAAATCCACACTTGTGGTAAGCAGGGGAGTCTGGGTGAGTGGGGCGCGAAGGGGAGGGGAAGGACCTATGCCGTCTATCTATGTGAAAGTCTTCATTGTTAAAGGACCGACAGCAGGACTTAGAATCCAGTTAAAGTGCTCACTGAGACACAGAGTGGACATTGGAAAATGCCACACAGACTCTGGGCAATTCTACCAGTCAGTCACGTCCTAAGTATTCTTCATGTGAAAAGTTTTTAAGATCTTGATTTTCAATGCAGCAAGTTGTTAGCCTGGCTCTGAATGCAGGGAACATGGGCTTGGCACTGGAGGTTCTTCCCACTTGGCAGTTGGAAAGAAGAGGCTGGAGTATTTACTATAAAATGATACGTTATGAGAACAACTATAACATGCATAAAATGGATGTGCAAATTACAACTGTCAAGCCTGATTTAGACTACCTGTACAACTGTGATAGAGGAAAACGACCTCCCAATGAATATACGTCATGCTCAGCACAAAACGAAACCACCAACCATGTAAGTATTCCTCATTTCAAGAAAGGAAACAAAAACAAGTTGACAGACCGGAAGGGCAACTTTCATTTCTTCTAAAATAGCCAGTCAACGTGAAGCTATCTTTTTGGTTACCTTGGTCACAGCTTTTGGAGAAAAGGTCACTTCATCCACCACAGTGATGAGGTCGCCTGGGAGGAGGCGATCGAAGTACTTCATGCAGACGTCATAGGCATGCAGCCACTCTGGGGGGGACGCCGGGACTTGTTTAATGAGGTGAGGGTCTCCAGTCCAGAACAGCTTCTGTAACCAGATGGTGTACAGAGAGCTTGGGGAAAGCATGCGGCCATCCTTTCCAGGGATTTTGGGAACAAGTTTGGAAATGGATAAGATATTCTGACTTGAAAGGATTGGCTCCAATGCCTCAAGAGGATTCATGTTTTCATCAGTCAGCTTTTTGTAATCAAGACCTATTGGAAAGGCAAGAAAAAGAGAGAGTAGTTTATTCCAACATAAACACACAGGAACTTTCAATCCCACACAGGGCCTCTCTGCATGGCTGAATGAAAAGATTCAGTTCTAACAGACAGCTTCGTTTGTCACTGAGATGAAACTGAAAATCTTGTTTCAATCCCTGCTTGCAGCTTGGCCAACTGTGCAGCCCTGAACAGGTCACTCTGTGAGTCCTAGCATCCTCATGTGTGCCCTGGACTTGGCAACATCTCCTCAATTCCTCAGTGCCCCACAGAACCTACATCCTCTTCTAACAGTTCTCTCACCAAACTGCACCATGTTCATCTGTCATCCATCTGACATCTCATCAACTACCTAAAGGCAGGGATTGAACCTCACTCCTTTTTCTCTGTGTCTGGTCCATGGTTGAATTCAGTTACTAAGTAAACCACTGATAAAATGAAATAAATTCTCACAATTGTTATGAATAGCAGATGAAAGTACCTTATAAATTATAAAGGCTTCCCAGGTGGCTCAGACGGTAAAGAATCTGCCTGCAATGCAGGAGACCCGGGTTCAGTAAGTTATAAAATTTCACACAGATTTGAGAGATTTTAATGTAGTTAACTTCTTTTCTTTTTTTTCCCTTTTTCTTTCCCCACCTTTAATTGCATACCTTCTGGTTAACCTGTTAGTTACGAGCATAAAGATAAACAGACACCATTCTACAGATTTCCACAATTCATTAAAGATTCAAAAGCTCTTAAAGGTTTCATACATTCCTTAAACACATAGGTTCCACTGAAGTAAAATTCTGCCAAACGGCCTATTTTAAAGTGTCTCAACCTTGTCATTTATATAGATAAAATATAAACAATGGGAGTAGAGGAAAAAAGACCTCAGAAGCTTTGGATTTTAATACCAGGCCTTCTGTAAGTCACTGTGTGACCTAACTTTCTCTGGTATTTAAGTCTCTCAACAATAAGTAAAGGAGCTGGAGAGATGATAACTAAAGTCAACTAGCATCATAATACTGTGGTTTCACAGTTATGCCAGCCATGGTGGAAGAACACAATCATGTACCGAAAATGAAGTCCAAGACTGAATTGAAAGAATGAATTCAGGCAGGAAGATGATCATCTTACCTGATGCCACTACCTTAAATTTCTTCAGTAGCCGAACATGGGTTTCCGGTTTAATGGCGTACTTCCCGAGATCCGCACAGCCACAGCTCTCCAGCAGAGTGAAATAGTATAGCAGCCTTTCGTGATCAAAGCCGCCGATCGTGGGGTAAATATACTTGGCCATGTGCTTGTGAAAGCCATCAGGGTCAGTCTTCAGTGTCTCAAAGAGACGAAGGGACTGGGCGCGGTTTTCAATTTCTACTGTGGACAAACTGAAATTAAGAGACAAATTATGTTAAGACTGGTAAGATTTGGTTCATTATTTTTTTTTAAAGTGCCCTTTTTTTGGAAACCTAGGAAAAAAGGCTACTTCTCACAAATTCCTTCTTGCTGCCTAATCAAATACAGTAGTACTGTTTGTCTCTGGCACAGGTGCAGGTCATTTCCATTTCGAATGGTACTATAGGATTTTCACATTATCTCATGTGGGTCTAAAGTAACCCTAGAAAGTTGTATTATTTCACATTTCTGCAGCAGAGAGCAGCCCAGTGTTTACTAGCTAGGAAATGAACCCAGATCTGTCACCTTCCACTATGCACTATTTATTCATGTCATAAGAAAAAATGTAAAACTTGAGCTTCATTATAGAAATGTAAACAGATTTATTATTTCAGGAATTTAGGAAAAAGGGAGGTGAAGAAAAAGACACAACTTTCTGGCGTAAATTTTATATCCAAGAGGCTAGAACTGATATTCAGGAGACATAACCTTGATACTGTGTTCAAAAATAGGAAAAAAAAAATAGGAAAGAAGAGATACTTGCACTTGAATTGTCTGTACTTGAAGCCATTTGAATAAAGCACATATCTTAATGTTTTAATCTTGACTTAGACGTTTTTGTAATATAATTTATTACAAGTTATTTAATGTCAAACTGTTGAAAACAATTTTAAAGGGTTCTGTTTGGTTAATCAGTTTGTGTTAAATGGGTGATGGAGAGGGCTGAATTTTGGTATCATACTTGCCTCCGGATAGAACACAGTGCCTCCTGCCCAGTTTAATCCTGACACCCCACAAAGGAAAAGCTTCAAGCTTTCTAACTGTAAGAGGTCTTCAGGCAGCCCTAGGCTCTATTGGAAACACCCAGCTTCCAGAGTTCATAGTAGCAGCAGAGAAAGAACCTGGGAGCAGAGAATGAGACCTGGAGCATGAAGAGACCTCAAGCAGGATAAAAGTTAGGCTTTATATAGTTTAAAAGCAACTCCTCTGAAATATGACATTCTATTCATTGGAATTCCCTCTTTTAGAAAGTACCAAGACATGTTTTTGTTTTATGTAAATAAAGTTAATACACAATATACTTTAAAATCTGTATGAGGGTATGATAATACTTGGGATAAAGGCAGCAATCTATAAAGTCAAAATATCAAGCAATTCCAAAATGCTTTTTTAACTTTTACCTCAAGAGAAGTCCTATTTTTCTATTAAGATACAATTCAAACATCTGCAAAAATATCTCTCTCTATAAAAATGTTCCTGGACTATAAAAATGCCCCACAGTTTCCTTCTATTCATAACATGCTTTAACTATTTACTAGTCTGCCTGTCCCACATAGACTATGTACACTTGATGGCAAAAATGACACCACATCTTCTTTAGCTTTAGTTTCAAGCTAAACCTAAGTGCTTCCTTTAGGTACAAACGAAACACTCGACATGTACCTTATGAATGCCAAGTAGATGGGAGGATGAACAAAAACTTAGGTGTCATCTACAGACAAGAGACCTGTGCTCAGCACCAGGGAGAGTATCAAGATTTACAACACAGAACTCTCAGCCAGCAGTTATGAAAATCCAGTTGCATTCTAGATAATTAGACAACAATGCACAATAATGGTGTGGGCTAACAAAGGACATGCAATTACATCCCAATCAAGAGGAGAACCACTTGTAGACATAGAGAACAGAACTGTAGACAGAGCAGGGGAAGGAAAGGGTGGGATGAACTGAAAGAGTAGCATTGAAATATATATATATATACCACATGTAAAATAGATGGCTAGTGGGAAAATGCCATATAAGACAAGGAGCTGAACCCAGTGCTCTGTGACAACTGAGAGGGGTGGGAAGGAGGTGACATATGTATACTTACGGCTGAGTTACACTGATGTGTGGCAGAAACCAACACAACATTGTAAAGCAATTACCCTTTAATTAAAAAATAATAATAAAAGGGTAAGGCCACTAAAGCTGTAACTTCAGAGGAGGTAGATATCAATGACAACAGAAGGTTTATTGAAAGAAGTGCTTGAAGTGGATATTGTAGAAAGGAATGAAGCAGAAATAATATGAACAAAAGTATCATGACGAGAGAGCACAAGGCCTATACAGGAAAGAGTGAGTATAAATGGATGGCTAGTCCCAAATTCTTCTGGATCCTACAACTATTCAAAGTGTGCAAGGTCATCTCTGAAATACACAAGCAGGCCTCATTTTACTGTGCTTTTTGCTTTACTATACTTCACAGATACTTGAATTTTTTTTTTTAGACAAATGGAAGCTTGGTGGCACCCCTGCGTCATACAAGATGACTGGTGTCATTTTCCCAAGAGCGTTTGCTAACTTCGTGTCTCTGTGTCACATTTTGGTAATTCTCACAGTATTTCAAACTTTGTCATTATTATTATATTTGTTACAGTGATCTGCGATCTCTGATGTGACTAATGCAATTGTTTTGGAATTTTTAAGCAATAAAGTATCTTTTAATTAAGGTCAGCCTGTTTTTTAGACGTAATTATTTTTGCACACTTAGACTACAATACAGTGTAAATGTAACTTTTATATGCACTGGGAAGCAAAAATTCATGTACTAGCTTTATTGTGATATTGGCTTTATTGCAATGATCTGTAACCAAACCTGTAATATCTCCAAGGTATGCCTGTACTGTATACCCAGTGGTATATGAAAGTCACAGAATTTCTGATGTTCCTTTGTAATTTGCTAAGTGAAGTTTGAAAACAATGTAGTAAAGAAGTAAATAGGAAGCTGTGTCATCCTGTTAAGATGATCATACAAAGATTTGCAAGCAGAAGAACATGCTCGATGGAAGAAGGAAAAGAGAAAAAAAAAACAAAAAATACCTTGCACTTGTTACACTGATAACGGTGTCAGACAAGCAGAATCTGGGTATTATCAACTTGAAAGTGAAAATGTTAGTTACTCCATCATGTTCAACTCTTTGTGACCCCATGGACTGTAGCCTGTCAGGTTCCTCTGTCTGTGGGATTCTCCAGGCAAGAATATTGGAGTGGGTTGCCATCTCCTTCTCTAGGAGATCTTCCCGACCCAGGGGTTGAAGCCAGATCTCCTGTGCTGCAGGCAGATTCTTCACCATCTGAACCACCAAGCAAGCCAATTACCAACTTACAGATGAGAAACTGTCATTAGAGACAAGTGGCCTGCCTAAGACCAAGGGTCCAGGTCTGTCGGGACTCTGTGTGGATGGGTCTGCTCACCTGGTCACAAAGTAGCCAGCAATTGACGGAGCTCCAGCAGCTGTACTGATAAACATTTCAAAAACAGGATTCTTTCTCTAACACAGACATTAGTTCTCTCTCCCAGTGGCAAAAATCTAAGAGTTCTCCTGTCATACTTCATTCCTATCACCTGATAAACAGAGTATCTAAGACAGACTCATTTACAAAATGGACAATGACTAAATCATAATAGCTTTAGCTCATCTATGTTTGACTTGATTCTGAATATAGTCTCTTTCAGTCAACATTACCGACCCCCTTCCCACCCACCTACTCTCCTGTGCCTACAATTCAGTTTGCTCAACGTGCAATTTTCCCTAATTATCTTGTCAAGAGAGATACTGGAATATCTTTACTGACAGATGATAAATACGAAAACCTCCCTCTTCAGGAAATTACAAGGTACTAAGATCTTTTATAGATGCCAGTAATCGATAATCCATTTTAACAGTTCCATCGAAAGAAGCTGTTATCTTCCCTTTGGAACAAGAAATGAAATCTCTACTTAGAAAACAATTCCAAAGAATGCATTCAAGAAGAGTAGGAAGAAATACGTGGACTTTTCACTAATCAAATCAGTGGTTGCCCTTAAAAACTGTTTAAGTGCTTTTTCTAAGTTTTAGCTGTAAGGCAGCTCATTAACTTTCAGAGATTAACTACAGGAAGAAGCTAGCATTAGTTGTACTAAAGGCACAAGGAATAAATTATTGGTACTAATCCCACAATTAGGGGTTCAGTAATGGCTTCTAGTTGTCAATAACCAAAAAATGTGATTCAAGAACAGCATGAATTGAAAGGACTTACATTCATTCATACAGGGAAACAGATTTATTCAAATGTATTATACTTTACTTAATCTGAGACTGAGTGATACATCATTCCATGAGTTGACTGTAAGGAGTACACAGAGGGGGCTGGAAGGAGAGAGGTGAGGGCTCCTGGGAGAGGCTGGAAGGAGCAGAGGGATGGGCCGAGGGGTCCCCCAAAGACTAACCCCAGTAGTAGGAAGATACATCAACCCACATGAATGACCATGACCCCGGGTGAACAGGCCCCCACCACTGACGCTTTACACCACTGTGGAAAGAGATGATTCTACCCTTTAAATCACAACTCCTCCAATGTGAGGAGGGAAACTCCTCCTCGATGTGAGGGAAATAATCGAAGATATTTACCACACAAATGCCTCCAAAGGAACCTGATGGCACAGACCTGATCTGTAGCGCTGCCTGACAGCTGCATACGTGATTAAGTGAGGGAAATGGGGTGAAACAATGATGGCCTTTTTCAGCTTCTCCAGCATGTTAGTCAAGTGCCTTCACAAACCAAAAAATGAACTTTCACTCTGCAAGGTCACCTACGCACTTCATGAGAGGCTCAGTAATGAGGACCTCGGAGTCGACTTCTCATCACACTGGCGCTTGGCAAGCTCCTCTGTAGAACGGTTTCTATGGACAGAGCAGTTATGCGGAAGGAAGGCCATGTGAACAGGCTTCGTCTCCTCCAGAAAGACAAGCCTGATCCCTTAAGCCTTCTCATTTCTCATAAATTGCCAACTCCGACTGGTTTATAGAGTCTCCTATTATTATCTCTCTACCAAAAATATTTTAAAGGATATTATAACACAGACACAGCAATAGGCATCCCTTACTAAGCACTTCTCAGACAGCAAGTATTATGCCATCTCATTTAATTCTTATGAAACAGGTATCTTATAATTGATATTCACACTGAC